AAACTGGACCAATTGGCTGGTTGGGTTGGCTCTGGTCTGAACCGAGTGGTTCAAGGTAAAAATCTCAACCATTATAAGTAAATATTTTTAAAATAAAAAATTACATATGAGTAAAATCACTTTTACCCTTCAGGGTGCAATTGTAATTTTATTTTTCCTTATATTTATCACTATCCAGCCGAATCGCACCGGCCTTTACTTACCCGACGACGATCCGTATTCCGGTTTCACTCCGACGACGTCGTTTTCACGATCACATTAAAACCTAACGGCCATATGATAGTACAGACAAAAAAGCAACAGAGCGTCAGAATTTCATACCACCACAGGAGGCGACACCTGTCACCCTCGTCCTTTATCCTCTCTATCCGCCACGTGTTCTCCTCCACGCTCTGTACATATAAATACCCCAATCGCTCTCATTTTATATGGCTTAAGAAAAAGCTATGGAGAAAGAATTACAGCTTCAAACAAAACCTATTTTCAGCGGCGGCGAAGCCTCCTCCGCTGCTGAGATGGCGGTGGACGAAGTTTTTTTTCAATGGCGTCTATGCCGGGTTAACCTTCCACTCCTTGTTGATGCAAGACCAGACGCCGCCGCTGCCTCCATTCTTGGAGTCTTCTCTCAACTACGATCCCAATGGCTATCCGGCGACGGAAATCCAGAATCTGAAAATTCCGAAAACTGAACACCTGTTTTTCAATGTAAATTGCTCCGTCTCCAGTGAGGTTCCCCAGTACAACTTCTTCTCCAATACGACGCCGTCTGTTGCTGAATCTGATGTCCTCTTCCCTCAGCTTCCTGGCCTCCTCTCTCTAGAGCTGCCTCAACACAAGCATTTCCAACTCGCTGCTTCCTCACCGTCTAACTCAGTGGAACCGGCAGAGAGTGCTACCCACTCGGAGAAGAGTTACCACCAGCACCGGTTCGGTCCATACAGGTCTCCTAGAGCTGTGGCGCCGTCGAGCACACTGGCGAGGCAGCGGCGGCAGAGGATTAGCGACAAGACAAGGTGTTTGCAGAAGCTTTTGCCTTGGGACAAGATGATGGACATGACAACGATGCTGGAGGAGACGTACAAGTACATCAAGTTCCTCCAGGCGCAGATTAGCGTCCTTCAGTCTATGCCGAGTAACACTGCGGCGGCGC